CATCAGGGCTGACGGGATAAAAAGCTTGGACTGGATGATCCAACGCTGTTCATCCAAGCTGGTATAATCAATGGCGAGCTCGTCCAATCTTCTGACGGCAAGACCTTTGATGTCGATAGTGAGTCAACCACCTTGTCCTTTAATCAACCACGTATTCTTGTATTCCTGTGTTGACAGTATATGAAAAAAGATCCAGCAACAGGGGAAATTATTGGGAAATGCCCAGATATGACTTTATCCGACACTGTGAAAGCCATCGAAACAGCTGCTTCAACATTCAAAAAGTTCCGCCTGACAACACCTCAACAGCGTCATCAATGGCTTATAAACCTTCACAAACTGTTCGAGCAAAACGTCAAAGATCTCGCACGATTGATCGTCTGGGAAAATGGAAAATCATGGACAGACGCTTTTGCCGAAGCTACTTATGCTGGAACGTATATCGATTGGTATGCTGGTGAAGCCCTAAGGACACACGGTGAAACTATCCCTTGTTCATTGCCTGGTACGAGGAATTTCACCGTCAAACAACCTATTGGTGTTTGTGCTCTACTAGTCCCGTACGTATCAACTGGATGAGTAGTGTGTTGAAACGGGATTGTTGATGTTTCATGTGAATAGGTGGAACTTCCCGGCTGCTATGATCGCTAGGAAAGTAGGACCAGCTCTGGCAACGGGTTGCACGGCCGTTATCAAAGTACCAGCAGAGACTCCGTTCACCAATCTTGCTATCATGGAGGTGAGTCACTTTGCACCGAGCCACCTATCCCCACCAAGCCAACGTCCGATACCCACCTCATCACCCTTCTTGACCAAATTCCTTTCCCCTACCAAACCATCTTTGCTCGTTGACCGTGCGTCTCCTCATACTGACGTGACTAGCTCGCAAAACGTGCAGGTGTACCCAAAGGCGTTCTCAACGTGATCACGACTGATGCGAACCTCCAAGAGATCGGAAAAGAACTCACCACCAACCCACTCATCAAGAAGGTATCATTCACAGGCTCGACTCGAGTCGGAAAGATGTTGGCTGGGAATGCTAGTGGTACTCTTAAAAAGATGAGTTTGGAGTTAGGCGGGTAAGTCATTTTCTTTCCTTCCCTTTACTGATAACTGTCGTCTATCGCAACAAGTACCTATCGTGTACATAAATGAAGATGTAGCTAACCATCATGCAGTAATGCCCCATTGATCGTTTTTGACGATGCGGATCTCCCTACTGCTGTAGCAGGAACGATCGCGTCTAAATTCAGAGGATCGGGTCAGACTTGCGTATGCGGTATGTCAACGAACGTATTACATGAATACTGACTTGTAGCCAACCGGATTTACGTACACGATAAGGTCTATGATGAATTTGCCAAGTTGCTTGCGGAGAAGGTTGGGGCGTTCAAAGTTGGTCCTGGGTTTGATGAGGGCGTGTGAGTATAGTGTTCCTTCCTCATCTCGTTTCTCCCTCCCTCACTTTGATTCTTCATCCCTCATCTCGTTACCCCCTTTCTCATTCCGTTCTGTCTCATTCTGGCTCCTCCCTCATTCTGTTAGATTGGTGATTCTGAAGTATCGTACTGATCAACAGTACGCACGGGCCTTTGATCCATAAACGACAAGCGGACAAGGTCCAGGAGGTCAGTTCAGTCTGAGCAGTTTCTGAGCCTACGTCCTGCTGATTGAATGCAGCACATCGATGATGCAGTCTCAAAGGGCGCCAAGATCCTAGTAGGAGGAAAACGGGGCGAGAGGACTCAGTTCCAACCAACAGTACTCACAGAGGTCCCAGACGATTGTGTAGGTCTCCAAGTTCCCTAGCGCAACATGTCGCAGACCGATATTGACATTGCCCCAACTAATTTTGACTAATTTTTCAAATAGTTGATCACTGCAGAAGAGACTTTTGGTCCTCTTGCAGCTTTGATTCGATTCAGTTCAGAGGAAGAAGTCATCGTAAGTGATTTATTTCATCCCTTTTTCCTCTGTTTCTCTTTTCCTGTTTCCTGTTTCCTGTTTCCTCTGTCCTTCTTTCCTGTTTCCTGTTTTCTCTTCCCTCTTTCCTCTGTCCTCTCTCCTCTTTCCTCTTTCCTCTTTCCTCTTTCCTCTTTCCTCTTTCCTCTGTCCTTCTTTCCTCTTTCCTCTGTCCTTCTTTCCTCTTTCCTCTTGCCTCTTTCCTCTGTCCTCTATCCCTCTTTCGTCTTTCCTCTCCTTCAGCTCTTGAATATGATCTCGCAAGAATCATTTGATTGATAGCTAACTTGGGCATAGGAACTTGCAAACAAGTCGGAAGTGGGATTGGCAGGATACTTTTTCTCACAAGATTCCGATCGGATTTGGAGAGTCGCAGATGCTTTGGAAGTGGGCATGGTAGGTGCCAATACAGGTGCTATTTCTCAAGCCATCATGTGAGTTGTTTTCTTTGTTTCTTTTCCCTCTTCGCCTCGGATTGAGACCACCTTTTCGTCGCCTTGAAAGCAACCTCAGTGAGGGCTGTGAAAGCTGATAGTTCTCATTAGTCCATTTGGAGGAACCAAGGAATCTGGATATGGTAAAGAAGGTGGACATCAAGGGACTGAGGAGTACCTCGTCACAAAGCTCATCGCACTTGGTACTGCAAGTAAGAATGCTCAAGCACCACCATCTTTCGACTGAATTGAAATATAAGCTTGATTGCTTTTGTTTGTCGGTTGAAAGTTTATATGTGTATGATAAATTTATGCATTCAGACAGTCAGTCAATCTATCGACAAGATGCTTATCAGAAGGCACAAGAAGACACGAGCCCTTCACCCTATGGTACTAACTCATTCAAGGTAGCAAGCACTCTTAGAGGTACCACCAGGAACCATCTCAACACTAGGTGCGGCTCAACAGCATTACATTGATGTATTCCTACCCAGAGAGTTAATCAAGTGAAAGAAGACTATAGGGAGCCATAAAGTACTGTAATTATCGGTTGAACACTGTGCTATGCATTGAGAACAATCAACAAAGTGATAACAGTAGTGATTTTTATTTTGGTGTTTCTCGATATTGAATATATCTGTAGATGTCTAATACCACTCTCTTCCCCATCTGATTTGATCATCCATATCTCTCCAAGGTACCCATCCCTCATATATTGCTCCAGGAGCATCTTCGCCCTGCGGAGGATTGACTAAAGGGGGACACCATTCTAGTAAATCGGATATTTCGGGACATGAGGTATGATATGGGTGATAACGAGCGTATGGGTTTCGTAAGAGTCGTTTGGTTGATAAAGGAGGATGACAACCTGAAGGCGAAGATAGGAAGGGGGTGTAGCCGTATTTTAACTACTTGGCATCAGTATATAGGTTTACAGAGGGTATATAAGTGTACAATGAGCAAGCCAAAGCACCAGTCAACGTGTGCACAGTGAGGAGCTTGGGGCTTGAGGCAGATAAGGGGACGAGGTCATGAGGGCACAGCGAGGAGATTATAGCTTAGGGCATATAACGGAAGGAGAGGGAATAGCTAGGCTGATGGAACTGAAAGGCCAAGGCTCTGAAGAAGGTAAAAGGGAAAGAAGAGAATAGGAACAAGGAGTGATTGAGACAAATCACGTACCTCTCCAGCATAATGCTCTGTGGTATCACCTTCATCGTCAATCCCAAAATACTCAAACTGCTCCAACGGGAAATTGATCGAAGCCCTATGCAAATGCTCATATCTATGTGATATTAGCGTTTTGACGCCAAGTCCATCTCCACTACATATGCCCAAAACTGACCGTCTGCGCTTCATTCCATATCCTACAATGGTGACGCGGACAGGCCAACGACCTGTAACTTCCTTGAATCGCGCCAAGGCAAATAACAGATTCTCATAGCTGTCCAAAGCGTATTCTTCTGTAGCGGTACGCAGGTAGAGTGGTAATGGACTTGATAAGGGAGGTAGAGAGGCTGGTTGTATGAGGCGGAGAGCTGTTGCTATGTTTAGGTATGATTGGGCTTCTGCTAGAGGAGGCGAAGGAGGTAATCGAGTTGCTCCTCTGTGTTTTCCTATCAGTATGCAAGCAGAGTAGACCAAGCCGAAAACGAGAGAGGGCAGCGTAGGAAGTAAGGGTAGGGATAAGAGAAAGGAGGCGACTCACCCAGAGAATATCAAAAGACTGTTTGGATCTGATTCTAAACGCCTGACACCCTCTCTAATATGTTTAACATAAGTCTTTACACTTCCACCTCCTTGGATTCCCTCCAAAATCCACTGATCATCTTCCTCCAGCCTCTCAGGATCATTTCCAATCCAAATAGCATGCCCAGGAACCATGATCAGATGATCCAGTTCCTCGAACCTCGGATCCCGCTCGATGGTAGTCTCGATACTCAGGGGAATACCAGAGTCAAGTTGCTGGGGCGTAGCGTTATCTTCCCATCCTTCCCATTTCCGTCTGCCAGGATGATACGTCGATGGGCGAAGTAGCAAGGTATTCAGGTTCAGAAGGAGAGAGGTGGTAAGGAGGAGAAGGAGCAGAGAGACAGCGAGGTTGGTAAGGCGCGTACGGGATCGGAGAGTCGTTATGATCTGATGCGTTGTAGAGCTATATGATGGGTGAGGCGAAGTGGAAGACGGGAAGAACATGCGTGATTTGTTGGGTCGAGAGGATGACGACGAGTTGGGAAGGGGCAACATCGTGTATAGAGCCCAGAAACCCGAGGTGTTGTTGAGAAATCGAAATCTACAACCTCGTACGGTACGGTACCTCTGGACGGATTGTCGCGTGGTTCGTTCAGGCACACGTCCGTGTGCTGAAGTATGCTCTTCTTTGTTCGATTCTCAGAATCCGAAATGCATCAGCTCTTCTAGGCTTGTATACCCTGATGGAAAGAGTGATCCAGAAAAACATACTGTATGGTATAGGAAGGAGATCCTGCAACGAGTGATGCTTGCCAAGCCGCTCATCAAAGCAACACGCCTCTGCTAAGTAATGCCAAAGAAATGGAAGCTGTATATAATATACTAGGTCGCCGACGAAAAGTCGAAACTCTTGGCTGAGTGAGACAGTGGCCTACTCTGGTTGACTCGAATACTCTATCGTACGGTATCAACTCCCGAAAGGGGCGCATGTTCGAATCATGCCTCAGTCGTTTCCCTTTTTGCGACTATCCCGTCTGCCGTTTTCGCGACTGTCCGTTTGCTATTTTCGATTCCTGTCTGTCTGTATTCTTCTTACTTAGCTTGGCGAGCCTCAATCTCGACTGGTTCTGTCCCAAATCCTGCGTACATACGCTATTCCTACCAAGACGAACCTCGCATCACGTCCATTTCGGTCGATGGGGCACCAGTGATGGGAAGTATCTGCGTCCTCAGCTTGACATGAAGTGTGCTCCTTTTGTCACGTCTACAGCTCGAGTACTCTTTAGTCCTCAGCCTTCGCACCTAATTTTCACTCGTCTCGACCATCTCAACGGTCTACGTGTCCAGGCGCGTTCGTGTTCAACCTCGAAGATGTCATCCCCAGATGAACCCATTGCGATTGATCCTCCACCTGATCTGTCTAAGGCGAAGAAACCCCGTGGTCGACCTACGTCCGCTGTCAAGGCTATGAAAGCTACCAAACCGAGCATTACAGCGGACGTGATCGCACCTGAAGCTCGATCTCTATCTCGACCTCGCTCGCGCAAGACAAAATCTCCTTCGTTGGACGCGTCTCCAGTAGTCGCGTCGAAAGGCAAGGAGAGAGCTATCGACGTCGATGCGTATGATGAGGATGAGCCTGTATTCCTTGGACAAGCTCTCGCGGCTAAGCTAGCGGACAAGTACTCTTTCCGATCACCCTCAGTCGGTTCTTCGACGTCCATCGCAAAGAATTCTAAAGCGGAAACACCACAACCCCCTCCTCTACCTATAGCAGCTCCACTGTCACCGCCTCTGGAACCTGTGCCAGTCCCACCCTGGTTAGGCAAGACAGCAGTATTACTGCAATTACCTCGCTGTGTGGTATGTAAAGTCCGGTGGAAGAAGAATCAAAGTGGAGCTGCACGATGGGTTAGTTGTCCACTACATGTCGATGTCGCTGAGATAGATCAATAGAGACATATATCTACCTGTCTCCCTCCCTTATTTCGACCTCCTAATCCTCCACCTGATTTACAATCACTCATCAACGACGCACTATTGAATGTTGCCGGACCATCATCGTCCACCTCTCTACTTGACCTTCATGTCAACTCGATGGAAACTTCTCCTGAAGCGCCAGATTTAGGGAAGAAGAGTAAAGGCAAGGCCTCGACTACTCCAGCTGGTCTAAGGCGTATGACAAGTGTCAAAGCTGCTGAACAACGAGGAGAGACATGGCATGAAGAGGTAGATGAACGAGTTGGTAAATTATTTGGTAAAAGTCCAAAAAAGGCATCACCATCACCATCACAATCACAACGACCTCGTCAAATCTCACCGCCTATATCCCCAGTGTCCGCATTCCAGTCGACTCAGCCTTTAGGAAGATCAGAGCTAGCTGCTATATATACACGCCAAGCAGAATCTTCCCTTTCCCCTTCAGGCTCGCCAGAGGATTTGCGCTCGCCTGCACACCCGGATGCAGATGCATCGATGGACGAAATTCCTATGCCTCCGCCATCGCAGAGTAGGCAAGTCGATGATGAGCTGGAAGTCGAGGATGGTCTGCAGAATCAGGATGAGCGAGATCCCTTTCGACAGGGGGGAGGTCCGTATGCCGACGGGGACCTCTCCTGGAGATGGGGTTCGGCAAGAAAATGGGGTCATGGATGGAATGGTGTCATCCGTGTTGAAGGAGGAATCGACGGTACTTTCTGATGATAATATGTCAGGCGAACCGAACGACGATGAATCATCGGAAAGGATAAATGATGGCACACCACCTAGACAGAGATCAGGGCTCTTCACAATTCATCGATCACCAGTAGACGATTCGCCATTGAGATCCGAGGTGGCTCATTCACCAACAGCAACAGCTCGATTATCTATTACGCCACGAGAAACAAAGAAACGATCTCGAAAGAGTCTTTCTCCCACACCAACACCTACATCCTTCGACCTATCAATCTCAACTATACGTCCTCCTGACCAAGACGACGAGGAAGATTGGGGGAACGATGCCTTGCTTTCTTGGTCTGGGGGTAACGAAGATGATGTGGCAAGTCTTGATGGCGTAGAATCGGTGTCCTCGGTTGCGCCAGAGGATGCCGGTGTCTCTGAAGGAGAAGAATGGGGTAAAGAGGCAGTGCTCAATTGGGAATATTCGAGTGAAGAAGAAGGTTCCAGCACGAGCGATGTTGTGGGTTCTGATCATGACGTCAAGAGAGAGAGTGTGGAGCAACTCTTGAGTAGAGGTATGCCCAATTACGATTCGTGGACAGATCGTAAGCTCAAGGTGAGATTGATTTTGCTATATATATATATATGTCTGTGTCCAATGCTGAGTTGAAATTTACAGAAATTGACAGAAGGATATGGGTATCGCCCTATCAATAAACATGAAGCTCTGGTCAAAGTTGCTATCGATTGTTGGCGAGCTATTAACCCACAACCGCAACCACAATTACGACAACGATCGCCGTCAGAAACTTCATCCATCTCATCGATAGAGGTACCTCTTGCTTCTGCACGAAAGCCCACGTCCAAATCACCCGCTAAACCCAAAACCAAAGTGAAATCGACTGAAGGTGTACCTCCAAGCCCATCAACCAAGGCCAAAGGCAAACGCAGGGCTAAATCCAGGTCGTCTGATCCGCAAACCCAGGACGAACCAGAACGACCACTAGATGAGCAGTTTTATGAAATGATTCGTAATGATCATGAGCTTTGGATCCGTATACTTCGTTATGAGGTAAGTATCGTACTGTCTAGAGTATCTATAAGCTGTTCACTGATATTCCTGTGGTAGCCTATTAGCATGGATGAACTGATAAGTAAGGCGATTCAGACGGGCATAAAGGGAGTGAAATGGAAAGAACGCTTGAGGCGGTTCTTGGATCTTCAAGTCAGTTCCCTCTCTCTACGGCATCGTTGATAGTTTGTGACGGCTGATGACCGTAGGGTATAATTCACTTTGTAGATGATCCTACTGGTGCGCGTCGTCGACGATGATCACATGTCACACAAGTTTATAACAATATGTCACAACTTGTAACCATATATCACAACTTATATCATTGACAACAATCACACTATCTTTGATACTGATTGAGAAGAATAGAGTACAACTGAAATCATTCGGCACGACCCTCGCGCAAATGTGCGCTGATGGGACGTTTTTGCCAAAGGACCCCTTTCAACTTGGGGCGATTCCACCATCTGTACCCGCATCCGGCGTGTTGTACTCGTACTCGTACAATAAAGCAACATTTCACCGTCGAGGTGACCACACTGATAGGGTTCTCTTCTTGAGCTCCCAGGATCCCGATTCGGGAGGCGATTCTCGGATGTCTTTGCATCATGTCCCCCATTTCATAACGAACCTCCGTGAGTTGAACTTGTGCTGACAAGTCTGATTTTCTCCATTCGTTCAAAGGCTTGCTTTCGGAAAGTCATTTACCGTACTCCATTGTTCTCAACTAGTTGGGTGGTGACCAATAGCAAACTTGCTCAACATGGCTCAAGTTCCTTCTCTCCCTCCTCCAGCGACTGGAGAACATCAGCATCAGCACTACGAACGCTCTATTGACGGCGACGGCACTATTCGCGAGAAGACAATCACCGAAGTCGTCAAAGAGGTCCCGGCACCTAAAGTACAAGACGTCAACGAAGGGGACGAAGAGGGGAGTGAAGCTCCCACGGAGGTTGAAAGCGGCGGGAAAAAGAACAAGAGAAAGAACAAGACGACAGTAGACAAGGAAGAGGTGGTAAAGACTATCGAAGAGGTGAACGGCGTAGTCAAGGAGACGGTGGAAACTACAGTCGAGGATAAAGTCATCGAACCTACCGTTACGGCCCAACAAACTTCCTCCCATCGAGATCTCGATACAGCGTCAATCAAAGCCCCAACAGTCATTTCCAGGGTGCCGAGCGTGAGGGCTCCGTCGATCGCACCTACTGCTAGAGCAGCAAGTATCAGGGCGCCATCTGTTCGAGCACCTAGCATCAGAGCACCTTCTGTTCGGGCCCCAAGCATTAGGGTGCCCTCTGCTCCCTCTAGGCCTGCTACTATTGTTGCGGCTGCCCCTGCAACCCCAACACCAGTCGCGGTTGCTACGGTCGTTCCATCACGCGCACCGAGCCCCACACCCAGCCACCACTCACACCACAGTCATCATCCTGAGGTAGTCGTCAACGTGACCATTCCGCAACCCGTTGCTGCGCCACCCCCGACCTTAGCACCTCAACCCGAACCTATCTCCGCTGCTCAACCGGCTCTGGGCCTGGTAGTGCCAGATCCCCCTCAGTCTGTACAACTTCATACCATCCCTTTACCGGCTAGCCGGGCTGCAACTGTTGCTCCGTCTCCCACGCCCTCACGACGCACAATGCATCTTCCCAAGTTCCTACAGTCGTCTCCAAAAGAGGCGGTCATCGAGGAAGAACAGGTAGTCAATCCCAACGAACAAGTCACCATGAAGACCGTCACTACTACCACCACCACTCGGCAGCCCGTCAATCCGCCAGCCGAGATCGTCGCTGCTCCTCTCGCGGTCGGGTACGTGGAGAACGATCCTAATTGGAGGCCGCCTCCTCCGCCCGTCGCGCCTCTGACTCCAATTTCGCCTGCACGTGATACCTCTCCCAAGCGAGTGATAGAGACCACGACTGTTGAGACGGTCACATACCCAATCACGCCACCGAAGCACTCTGCTCTGCCTGCTCCCACTGAAGACGCACCGACATACGCGACTGTCAGGGGAGGCCCTACCACTCGAGGAATCGGAGGGCAGAGGGACACGGCACTGAGTGAATCTGACGGAAGGCGAAGTGGGACCAAAGGTGGTTTACGACCGATATCGTATGGTGAGTCTCAATTCCTGCGACCGTTACTGACTTCCAGTTGACTATTCCGCACTTATTCGCCAAACTCCAACGACCAGAAGACTCAAACTGCCGCATACTGTCACACCTGAAGCACCAAAAACAGTACTGACCATGTCTGCTGATCTCGAACGGGACAACAAGG